TGTGTGGTTTAACTTTACTGTTGTTTAAAAAAGTATTTAAAAGCTACGTACCTAAGACTGGGGAACTGTCAGTAGTGAAATTGTATAGTACATTAAGATATGAACTAACCTGAATATATACAGCTATGGATGTGGTCTACCTGGACTTCAGGAAAGCCTTTGATACTGTCTCCCACAGCATTCTCCTGGAAAAGCTGGCAGCCCATGGGTTGGACAGGGGCACTCTGTGCTGGGTTAAGAACTGGCTGGAAGGCCGGGCCCAGAGAGTGCTGGTGAACGGGGCTGCATCCAGCTGGCGGCCGGTCACCAGTGGTGTCCCCCAAGGATCAGTGCTGGGCCTAGTCCTGTTTAACATCTTTATTGATGATCTGGATAAGGGGATTGAGTGTACCATTAGCAAATTTGCAGATGACACCAAGAACGGGGGGGAGTGTCAGTCTGCTGGAGGGTAGGAAGGCTCTGCTGAGGGACCTGGACAGACTGGATAAATGGGCTGAATCCAGTGGTATGATGTTTAACAAGACCAAGTGCCAGGTCCTGCACTTTGGCCACAGCAATCCCAAGCTGCAGGACAGCAGCCAGGCAGAAAAGGACCTGGAGGTATGATTGACAGCAGGCTGAACATGAACCAGCAGTGTGCCCAAGTGGACAAGAAGGCCAATGGCATCCTGGCCTGTATCAAGAATAGTGTGGCCAGCAGGACCAGGGAAGTGATCCTTCCCTCTGTACTTGGCACTGGTGAGGCTGCACCTCAAGTGCTGTGTCCAGTTCTGGGCCCCTCAATTTAGGAAGGACATTGAGGTGCTGGAGAGTGTCCAAAGAAGGGCAGCGAGTCTGGGGAAGGATCTGGAGCACAAGTCCTATGAGGAGGGGCTGAGGGAGCTGTAGTTGTTCAGCCTGGAGAAGAGGAGGCTCAGGGGAGACCTTATCGCTCTCTAGAGCTGCCTGAAAGGAGGTTGTAATGAGGTGGGTATCGGCCTCTTCTCCCAGGCAACCAGCAGTAGGATAAGAGGGCACAGTCTTAGGCTGTGCTAGGAAAGGTTTAGGTTAGACATTAGGAAGAAATTCTTTACAGAGTGGTCAGCATTGGAATGGGCTGCCCACAGAGGTGGTGGATTCACCATCTCTAGAGGTATTTCAGAAGAGATTGAATGTGGCACTTAGTGCCGTGGTCTAGTAGACAAGGCAGTGTTAGGTCAAAGGTTGGACTTGATGATCTCAGAGGTCTTTTCCAACCTACTTGATTCTTTGATTTTGTAATTTCTTTATCTGTTTTATGTTATTTTACACTATATTATATTACATTACATTATTTTTAACTACCTTAGTCATGGAAAAGTTGTAAAATCTTCTGTAAGGTATGGTCTCCCAAGTGTTTTGAACTAATCTAAGACACTGCTCTGCTAATAGGGTTGCCTTACTGCTTTCATGTACTCTTGTTAGTGTTCCTGATAATGCTTGTACAAGAAGAGAGGAAACACAGAATTGTGCAGTCAGTGCAGGGGAAAGCAGTCCCTTTGAGGTAGCAGAGGAATTGCATCTGTTTAAACAGACTGTGGAAGAGCATCCTTAGGCTGTCTCTCCTCTGTAGGGCATGTACAGCATTGGACAGTAAAAAAGACTTTCATTCAGTCAAAATGTTCAGTCTAGGGAAAGGCAGAGCTCTGAAAAAAATGCTTTCTGAAGAGATGTTAAGTGTGGTATGAGTAATTGTCCCATACCTTGTGCCTGAATGCTTTCTTTTCAGCTCAGTCAGCATGTCTGTGGGAGTGCAGTCCAAGCTGGGTGTGCTCAGGCACATGGTGTCTCATGTGCTCTCAGGGCTCTGTTGGCAGTCTCATAGATGAGTCAGTCCTATGGCACAGTTTTAGTGCTTTTGTTCACAACCTGATGAACACCCGAAGACATTGTAGCTATGTAAGGGAAGAAATACTGACAAAAAATTCTCTGTATGAAATGAAGGTTATTTGAGTGTCAGTAACATAAGCTAGATCTTTGAGTGCAGAATCAATCTTAAGACAAATAGATGATAGATGTATTTGAGTTTTCTCACGTTTGTAGTATCAACATCATAATGAAAGAAAAAAGTTCAGTGCATGTATTTGGAAAATTTCTTTTGGCTACAGAAATGTGTGGTAACCCAGAGGACAGTTGCATGGCCATTTTGTGTAAATGAATGAGGCTTGCTTTGCATGTGGAAGTACAGTTCTTCTCCTGAAAATGCAAACTGTAATCTACTCCTACTTCACCTTGGAAGGATAGCTGATGGTTGCGTTGGGTACCTTTTAGGAACCGAAGGCAAGTAGCAAGCTGTTGCAGTTTCAGCCAAAGCCAGTGTTATCTGGGTTTTAGTCTTCTTCCAAGAAATTGGCCACATGGCTAACTACCAATTACCCTTTTCATGGCTAACTTTTCTGTTTTCCAGCTCACCAAACTTTCATCTGAGATGTAGTTTGGAATACTACCTAATCTATCCATGACAGCAGGATGCAATTAGTCAGAATGTGTAATAAACAAGGAGGGAATGGAAAAGGACATACTTGAGTATGGCAATGTCCAGGAGACATTTTTGATCCCATTTTTGTTTGTCAAACATTTCACAGCTTGTTTTCTTTAAATTTCAGTGCTTCATCTTGAAAAATGTAGAACATAAAGGAAGCAAAAGCAGAAAGGTTTCATGGTCACATTTTTCCAAATATAGATCTTTGTATTTTAATTCCAAATAGCCTGTAATTTAAAAAATCCATTATACTAAAACCCTATTAATAGTCAGTTGAAATGGAAAGCTTATAGGGCAGAGGTTAAATAAACTATTTTGTTTATATCATGACTGATATATTTTAGTTGCTTTGACTCTTTAGAGGGGAAGAGAAAAAAAAAGAACCTCTAAAATATTTGTACGGCTCTACAGAAAAACAACAAGATTAAAAAAATTCCTGTTAGTCCACATTAGTACTGCCAGATCAGCTACTCAACCTTGCATCTGCTTGGGAAAAAGTACTTTCTAAATTGAAAAAATATGACTGAAATACTACAGAAGTTTTCTAACCCCTCTTGTTTTAAGGCAGAGTTAGAATTTTGCATCATCCCTGAAAAATATTTGTCAGATCTTCTGAAAGCTTCCAGTAATGAGACTGTTGCCAGTCCTTAATTAACCTCTAAGAAAAGAAGTTTCTTCAAGGTTTTGGCTAACTTTTTTTTTGCTGCTATACAAGCCCCATCCACTGTAGACACAGTGAACAAACTGTTCTCTGCCTCTTGGTGATAGTCTTGTAAACACTTTTATTATGCCCACTCTCAGTTTTGTCTAATTTAGCCTGATCAGTTCCAGTTCTCTGAGTCTTTTTCCTTAGATCATGTTTTCTAAATTTCTGATCTTTTTTCTCTCTCAGGGCTTTTTCAGACAGTTCATTTCTTTCTTTGAAATCTGATGCCCAAAAATGGATGCAGTATTCCAGCTAGAGCTTTTCCACTGCCAGAGTTGAAGGATTACTTCCTGCACTTTGCAGGCTGCTCTCCCATACACGTCACAGAATGGTGATTGCTGGTTTTTTGCAGTAGCACAACTGTGACTCTCGCTCAGCTTATGATCTGCTATATCTCCCAGCCTGTCACTTGGTGTTCCCCATCCTGAACAGCTGATTATTTCTGCCTGAGCCTAATCCCTTCTGCTTTTCTGTACAGCATTTCAAACTTCTTTTCTAAGCAATACTCCAATTTCTGAAAATGATTTTAAGTTCTGGCAATGCCTTCCTGTTGCACATTAGCAGACCTAATTAATGTGGTTTCTATTCTGTTGTCTGAGTTCTTAATGAAAATAATGCATTCTGTAATGGACCCCCAGTCAGCAGGTCTTTCAGCTGTTCAAAGACTCATTAGTAATTATTGGCATTAGTAACTATGGTCATTCAAACAATTTTCAGTCACTGTATAGTACTTAAATCTTAAACTTGTTTCTTAAATTTGCTTATAAAATTATTATGTGAAATGTTGTCAAAAATCTTTCTGAAATTGAAATATATGATAACCAGCTGTTTTTCTCTGTTGTGAATTCTTTTACCCTCCTTAGAGTAACTTGTGATTTGTTCTTGACTAATTCATGTGGATGAATTCATCTTCTTATCTTGCAGTGTTTTTAAATTCTTTATTTGTTCCATTTTTTCAATGCATTTAATTTGAACTGTGTGTTCTATACCAAAAGAGATACCCTCTGACATACCCTCTTTGAGAACTTCTCAGTGACAATGAGTAATAGTTCTGAGATCCCTTTAGTCTCTGCTTGGCTGTCTTAGGCTGAAGTTCATAATACCTCATTTGAAAACTTTCAATTTTTTAAATGTTCCCGAGTTTGTTTTCCTATTTTAGGCAGAGATTTTACATCTTTGCAGCTGGATTAGCCACATGCCCTCAGATGATTCTTCTAATAAAATGTTCAAAAATGTATTAAATACTTCAGCTTTCATGGTCTTTTGTCACAGAGTCATAGAATCGTTTAGGTTGGAAAAGACTTTTAAGAGCAGCAGTGTTAACTCAGCACTGCCATGTCCGTCAGTGAACCTTGTCCCTCGTCCCTACATGTCTGTTAGTGCCGTTACTTTTCTGCTCAGTTGTGGTCTAGCTCATTCCATAGCCACAAAAGAATAGATATACTGCTGTTGAGGAGGGGATAAGATATGTGGGAAAGGAAATGAGAATATTATCTCCAGTTACTGTGTAATTGTCATTTAGGAATGACTGGAGCTTTCTGAATATTGAATGTATCTCAGTATTTCATGTCAGTGCAAAATGCTGTCTGAAGAACAGTTATTGTAAATTAGAACTGAGAAACTGCTATTGGAAAGTAATTATAAACCTTAGAAAAGGGCTAATTTTAAAAACAAAACACGGATTTCATTTTGTAGTGTGAGTTTCAATCAGGAAAAAATATTTAATTGGAAAGTTCTCTCTCAAAAAAAGTAACTAGAATAACTCTGTTATCTTTTTTCTTAAATCTCTTCCAGCTCCCAGACAGCTGTATAATGGATTACTATGAAAAATACAAGCACAGAATGAATGAGCTAGAAGCATTTAATATGGTAAAAGTTATAGGATTAATACTATTACCTTGTATATATGTGCTAGTCTGGAACAAAGCCCTGTTAAGTTTTATGTGGAGGTGGACTGTCTTACATTGGTATGCAATCTCAAAAAACAAAGCAGCCCGCCCTTCCAAACTTTGGAACATATCCTATTCCAAAACTATATTAGGTGTAAGTAAAATAATAAAGCGAATACGTGGAAGATTCTTTTTCAAGAGGGACTATTACACTGGAAAATGGAATGTCAGTCTCCTTTTGAACCTAGACTGGTCTCCATGAAGTTATTTCATAAAAATTCTTTTTATTAAAATTCATTATTTCCCTCTTTAAAAATGTTCTGCTACATATAGTATAATTTTCTTATTGGACAGTGTCTGAAAACCAACTAAATAACATAGTTCCCTGACTTTAGGGCATTCCATGTATTTTTGTCTTTAATATAATCTGTTTTGAAGATGTCCATCCCATAAAGAAAATTAGCAAACTGACATTTGTACAACAGAACCCCTAAAAAATGATTGACCTTCCTAGACTTGTTCTGAGGAAGTGTAGCCATTTGGAAGTGTATTGCCTGTCTTTCCCAAAGGGATTATAATATCTAATCTTTCTTTCAGTTGAAGGTTGTTCTGGCTCCTTGCATAGAAGTTTTGATACTTCTGGATCGTCTTTGCTATCTCAAGGAGCAGGTATTTTTGCATTATGTTTTATGGTACCTAAAGGCTACATCAGTGAAATGAGGCTATTTCAGTCTATTTATTATGGTGCAGACCAAAAGTCTCTGTTGCAGAATTATTATTCTCATCATATTTGCAAAAGTATAAGCATTCATTCCATTTAGTATAAACATATGCCCAGCAGATGTTTTTATTTTCAGCAAAGCAGCAACAGTAAAGTTTATGCTCTTTTAATTGTATGGTAATTACTAGTCAATAGGCAGTAAAAAATAAATTAATTAAATATGCAACAAATCTCATACAACATTGAGATATTTATTAATTAAAAATAGCGTTAGAAATGCTTAACAAACATTTTGCTGTTCATGCTAGAACTTCCAATTAGTATACTTTAGAACATACAATTCAAGAAATTTTGAATTAAATGCAAAATGTTTGTTATTTCCTTTTACTGTTTCTTAATTAAGATCAATGATGAGAGAAGGTGCACTTTTTCCAACTGTATGGCTCAACTGAGGTACATTTGTCTAACACACAACCTGAATATATTTTACAAGTACAGACCTGGGATATAACAAGCAAATGCTACTACATTTACTCCACGATGATTTATATTACACTGTTTCTTCTAACACTAATTTTGAGTTTGGCCTGATTAACTCAGAAGCAGCAGTAATACTTTTTCTGCACCAATAAACAATTTTCACACAAATAATAATTTGCTAGGAGAAAATGGTAGAATCTTCCAGCTTCTGCTCTGAGCCATGGTCAAAATAAATTTTTTTAATGAAATTTAATCTCATTCATATGAATAGCTATGTTTTCCCACTGTAAACTTTACATTTTAACAGCTCCATTTTATAATAAGTGAAAACTCACTTTATTCTCTGCCAACTTCTGAGTCGTAGTAAATGTATGCTTTTGTTCTAACTGGTATTTTTACAGAGAGGCAATTTGAAATATTTCAATAACGATGTATTTTCCCAAGTGCCAACCAGTAAAAATTTGCATAGAGATCTCTATGATTTCCAAAATGGGAGATCAAAACTTGCTGCATTTAGCACTAATTTACCTTTTCTAAATATAATATATGCATTAATTTAATCTTGTACTGTTTGATTCATAAAATGTGTTTAGGATTTAAAATAGAAATTATAAAAGCCATATGCAACATGATGACCAGATCCAGCTGGCCTGATTCATTTGAAAAGTCAGTTAATTAGCTTCAGGAGTAGAATGTGCTACCTAAAATGAGTATGTCTTGATCCTTAATTTCTTTGTTCTAGTTCAATCAAAGAACAAATCCTTATTGAAGAAGATAGTGCCAGAAATAACTAAATGACTTGAAAATGCATCCTGTTATGGGTGTCTGTTTTTTTCACAACAAACTTTGTCTGATTTTCTTGTTAGATAAGTGGTTTTCCTGCTTTGCATTAAGGATAATTATTTTTATTTTCAATGTTGTATTTCAAAATGTGGACCTATTATCATATCTTAGCTTTTAAGTTGAACACATTTTTAGTACTTCAATCATACATCATTTTACAGGAAAACATTGCCTGGTCTGGACTTGTGAAGTTATTTGATCCTGTGAAATCCCCCAGATGCTATGCAGTTATTGCTCTGAAGGAAGACTCATGTTCTTAAGTGGAAGCAAATTTCAGAGAGGTTGAAAATTCTGAGCTGATACTGTTGTTTCCTCTCTTTTAATCTGTTATTTTTAATTGATTCCTCAAGTACACTGTTTGCTTTTCAGCTGCAAAAGAAAAAACTGCAATGTCTCTGAATCTTCAGAAATAAATATCTCCTTTATAAATATGATGGCTTCCTTATGTCATTTATTAAACAATGTTGAACATCTGACTTTACTGAAAAAGTTATGACCTATACTGTGTGATTACTATTTAAAATAGTTTTTATATTTCTTCTTTTTAAGGTACTATGCTTATGTATCAATACCCCTTCTCTTGATATTTCTAATCTCAAAATTATACCTTCTCAATTTTTACCAGTGGCTTGTATCAGCAGTCTCAGACAAGGCTCACCCTTTTTGCTTTTCTGGGTTCAGATGCTGCAGAATATAAACAGAAAAATAACCTGCACTGTAAACAAAAACTTGTAGACTAAATAGAATCTTTGTACTTCCTGTTCTGCAGGTTATCAGGACCAGTGTAAAAGAGCCTAGATAGTGACTACCTGCAAAGGACAGTTTTGTATTAATCCTTTCCTCCTTTAGGCATTTTCCTGGCATGCACTTGTTTCCCTGCCACTCTGAAGAAAAAATGTGTGTGCTCTAATCCAGTGGGAGATTTCCCAGTGCTAAAGAATCAGCTGTCCTGCTGGGGTTCACTCTGTAATCCTGGGTTCTATTGCAAAGGTATTATTTAGCCAAAATCTGTTGGGTATAAATACTTTGGTACCCAGGTGAATTGAAACTTCCTAGTTTCTTGTTGTCTGTGCTGCATTCATGAGTGGGAAATTTATCTGTTGATGTGTTTATCTCAATGGGTTGCCTAATTAAACTTGCAGATTTTCCATCAAATAAAAAAGAGAAAAGTTTCTATTTTAAGTCCTAGTGCTTTTATTAGAATATTCCAGCATATATAAAATATAATTAACTACTAGTGCACAGAAGAAAAAAAAAGGACAAGTAAATAATAAAATACAGCATTGAAGAAGAAAAGGGGAGAATACACCTAGAAGATGAGAATAACAGAAAATATTTTTTTATTAATTGTTTAGCAACAGTAATAGTCACGGGAGTCAGAATGAGATAGAGATGTGAGTAGGAATGAATCTTTCTGTGTTGCAGTTTGCAAAATATAATGAGAACTTTGTGAACATGGCCATTGAAGAAAAGAGATGTAAGGTATTTTTCTAACAAGTCACATCTTTATTGATGTATTCACTTGGAAGAAACGCTTCTTTTTTGTGTGTGTAAGTTCTCTGTTATCTATTTTCTAACTCCCAGTCCTTATCAGTTCCATGGTTCCAGTATGAGCTTCTCACATTTGTTTTGTCCCAATACATTCAATCCTTAGAGCTACTGAACACCTTCAGTACCCAAGGAAATTAGCAGAAGTTGCAGGTGCTCCCAGCACTTTTGGAGTAGAGCTAATAGAAAAATGAGGCCTTCCATATATGCCACCTCTTGTTATATAGAGAGTACTGAGGAAACTAACAAGCTGCTGAATTCTTTTCCTGGGAGAGGAATCAAAAGAAAGAAAATCCTTTCCTAACCTCTAGGCATCTGGAAGGAAAAGAATATCTGAAATAAAATATCTGAAAAGAATATTGGAAATAAAAGGGCAATCTAAAGTACATGATGGTAAAAAGAAAAAAGATGAACAAAAATCTTAGAAAAATAGGGTTTATTACATTATGTTCTGCTAAAACATGATGACTAATTATTAGTGAAATGTTAGTGTTGCCATCCCTGTCTTATGTGCTGTTGGAAAAACGTACTTGGGGAAGACATTGCCTTTTTTCTGAATGAATTGGTTCTTCTGCTTTTTCAGACCAAATACAAAAACTGGGCATATATGATGTCCAAACAAAGAAAGCACAGTTTCTCACTGAAAGCAAGGGCTTAAAAAGTACCCTATTATGGCCCAAATATATTCATTTCAGCAAGCCCCATCTGGTTTAATCTGAACACAGTCAAAATTGCAAAGGGTATACAGACTATTGCTAATTTTGTGTGTAATGGTAGATAAAATCAAAGTTAAATTTTTATTCCTATCTTAAGAGGAAATTTGCAACAGTTTAGAAAAACAAGCACATCTCTAGGATTAGCGCAAGTGCTTTTCTGCTGATTCAAAAAGTTCTGAATAAATTTGCATTCCCTCCCCCATCAACTTCTCAGGCTCTTTCAGTACTTTTCATGCACTTTGTAGTCTATGCAGGCAGAGGCAATGTGCTTCTTAGAATAATAACTATCAAGAGGTTTATATGATGAGTTTGCATTCAAGCAGTCAGTTGCTGTCTGCTCTCAAAGCTGTTTCAAAGCTTTGGATGCCTGAATACCTATGGGTTATTGTTTACACAATGGAAAAATCCCTGACAGTAATCAGGATGAATAAAAACATTTTTCTTCATGGTTATTGCCAGAAGTTCTTCCATAATTTAAACTGTATCCTAAATATGATGACGTCTTTTGGTAGGAAAGAATCTCCCTTTTCTTTCAGGGTAATCTGTGGTGATACACTGCCCAAGGAACAGAGGATATACCTGATTCCCATCAGGTGTTTGCCTGATTCTGTTTGTGGCACACCTATGCATTCTGTAGCAGATTTGGAATATTTTATTTATTTTTCTTAGGTCTGAAACCTGTTCTTAGATGGAGGAACAAGAGTATATGCAAGGTGTGTGTTCAAGATCTCCAAGCCTGCTTTTTTGACAACAAACTTTATTCTGCAGGTCTAGTGGTGTTCCTCAGGGGTCAGTATTGAGACTGGCACTGTTTAACATCTTTGTCAGTGACATGGACAGTGGGGTGGAGTGCACCCTCAGCAAGTTTGTTGATGACACCAAGCTGTGTGGTGCAGTCAGCACATTGGAGGGAAGGGATGCCATCCAGAGGGACCTGGACAGGCTTGAGAAGTGGGCCTGTACAATCCTCATGAAACTCAACAAGGCAAGTTCAAGGTCCTTTGCCTGTTTTGTGGCAATCCCAAGCTCATCTACAGTCTAAGCAGAGAATGGAACAAGAAGAACACTGGGGAGAAGGACAAAGAGGAATGGTCTTAAGCTGAAGAAGGGTAGGTTTAGATTAGCTATTGGGAAGAAACAGTAAGACACTGGAACAGGTTGCCCAGAAAAGTTGTGTACTCTCCATCCCAGGGGTGGTCAAGGCCAGGCTGGATGAGGATCTGAGTAATCTGGTCTAGTGAAAGGTGATGTGACACACTGGATTATTATATTGGCTCGGAGCAACTCAAGTGCGTGTGTGTGTGTTTGTGTGAGGGGGGGAAGGGACAAGGTGAATCTCACGGAGGTGAGGTCATGCCTTGTCCCACACTCCAGGAGCTGCTAGCTCACCAGCTTGGCTGGGAATTTTACTTTAGTATATAAATATAGGGTTCTTTAATACCTCAGGATGGTGTCAAGAGAATAAAGTCACAGGCTTGTTCCCAAGGAATTTCTTTATTAATTTAGGGGAGCAAATAAGGGAACTTGGCCAAAGTTCAAAAGGACACCACACAAGCTAGTCAAAAATGTTCCACCACATTACTGCCTCAGCATACAACACTTATTAACCCACAACACTTAAGTCAAAATCCAATCAATTCTACAACACTTAAATCAAGATTCAATCCCTCCAGCTCCAAACCACTCTAAGCATTAAGAAAGGAGCAAAGAAAGAGAGGCAGAGGGAGCAAGAAGAGAGAAGGAGAAAGAGGGAGAGATAGCTACCACTGAAGCCTTATAGAAGACTGGCTTTCAGAAGTCCAGTGGCAGGCTGTGATACGAGGCAAACACATGCCCTTGTTTTTATCTGCTCTGGTCCCTATGGCCAACCCCTCCTGGCAGGGTCTTTGACCCACCAGCCACTCTGGGGTTCCAGGTTGGTGTGAAGGGCAGTGTCCTCACTGTCCCTGCCAATCTGAGCTGGGTGAGGGGCTGCAGGAGGTGTCATGTGTTGCAGTTTTCCTAGGCTGCTTGTGACTGACAGTCACTCCAGGACTTCCCCATGTGGGCTCCAGGGATATGACATCACCTCACCCCCATGAGGTTCAACCCATCTCTTCCCTCTCCACACACACACACAGGTGGTTCTGACCCAATAATTACTGACCTGGTGTCCAACACACACAACAGCCCCTGAGAGACCCATGGGGCAACCTGGAGCAGCTGTCAGCCAAAGGTGTCCCAGGAGCACATCCTATAGCAGCCTTGGGAGCCTCTGGCCCAACCTTGGATTGTCTGGCACAGCAGGAGCACCATCCCTCATCCTGGAGCCCCAGAGTGGCCAGTGAGCCAGAAGTCCCACCTGGAAGGGGTGGCCACAGGAGCCAAAGAAGATAAAACCAAAGACATGTGATCTCCACATGTTTGAACCCACTGTTTACTAGACTCCTGTAGCTGGACCTACACTGGATCTAGGAATGGTAACTATATATCTCCTTTTATCTCTCTTTCTTTCCTTCTTTTTCTTCTGCCAATCTCCTTTCTTAATATTTTGGGTAGCTGGATACCAGATGGGTTGGGTTTTGCTAAGTTGTATGTGTTAGCATGTGCTAAGTCAATGCTTTGTGGAATGCTTTGTTTTGGTTGTATGCTACCCTTTAAACTTTTGCCAAGTACTCTTATTTTTTCTGCAGTAAAGTACCTCCTGAGAAAACGTGTGCTGCGTCTTCTCCTTTGCACTCTCTCTTAAGATGTTAAAAGAACCAAAGGCTCTTCTAATAATTCAGCAGGCAAATTTTTGGAACCTTGTATATTTTTAAAGGACAAGTAAAACTCCCTTGGTGGACTCATAGCTCAAGACTTGAGGTCTTACAGGTGTCCCTGCCTGTGGCAGGGGGCTTGGAATTATATGGTCTTTATTATATTGTTCAGAGATCACTGATACTGAGGGCAGGTGGTAAGATAGGACCAGCACCAAGAAAATCTTCCCTGCTTACGTGTGAAGTAGCCAACTGTTGTAGCATGGTGCTTCAAACTTCCTTTTCCCTAGGAAATAACTGAATACCGTCTTTGTTAGCATCTTTAAATCTCTTTATCCCATGCATCTTATCATTCTTACTGATATATGTCCTTCTTACTGATACATATTCTAGAGCTCTAAAAAGGAGGCTAATCCATGCTAGGCTGGGGCCATGAAAAATTTCAGTGTTTATAACCAAATCAGAACTGAGGCATAGTTGCCCATTTAAACTGGCCATCTGACCCTTAGAACTGTGACTTTAACTCCCTTAGTTTCTGAAATCTGTTCAAATTTAACAGTTTCCAAAATTCCCATACTTCCTGCCGTATGGGAACGTGGCCTAATTTTCTGGGAATCCAGCTGCAGTTTCCTCACCATCTGAAATAACCAACTCAGATTGGTCGGTCTGTATTCTGTATCACCAGACAACTGTTGAATAAATTGGTTTCTTTGAATTTGCTTATCCCCGCTTGTTATCTCTGTCAATGTTGTATTTCAGTGTACTATAAGAAAAAGAGTAAAATCCTTCTGAGATTTAGGATGCCTCAGAGAAGTTATATCACTTCTTGCTACTTTCTCCCTGAAAGCCTTGAAATTAATTCCTGATGATCAAAAAAGATTAGCAAGCATCAGACATCCTGAGAGGCATAGGTTATTAAAAATTACTATGTACAATATCTTCTCTTCATGAGTCTTTTTCAATTCAAGAGCTCTGAGGCATTTTCTTCACAGGAGTTCCAGAGCACCTTATCATTAAACTTATACATCCAAGAAAACCCACCAATATAGTGAAGATTGGCCTCAAAGTTGTACACCAATCTTCCCAGTATAAACCTGCATCCTCTTCAAGGATGTCTGCAATGTTTGTATGAAACTGGAAAGAAAGAGACATTTGTC